CCCCCCCCCCCCCCCAGATTGAAAATTGTGAAGACTTCGCTACGCTCTCAGATATAGGTCATGTATGAAGGGCATATGTGATCCTCTGAATGTAGATTATTTAAAAAAAGTATTTGATCTGATTAAGTTAAGGAAAACATGGCCAAAGCTATGGTGGATAAGCAAGACCAAAATTAAATCTTAAATCACCATTGGGCATGCATTGTATTCACCCATATGCAGATTTTGGTTTGTCTACAAATAAGGATCCCAATCACATGGTTTTGCAAAACCTTTGGTGAAACTGCTAAAAACTAAAACTACATTACACTTCAAAATTATACACACTTTGATTAGTCACACTCATAAATGACCATTTCTTCTTGCATTCTTCCTTGTGCCTTTGCCTTTGGTTTCTTCATCAACAGCCACAGTCTCTACCTGGTGCGCCGTTATACCGCATGATCGAGTGTTCCTTCTTGATGGCTTCATCGTTTCCCCTTTGGTTATTCCATCTGATGCAGGAACCTCTTCGGGGGAATTCGCCGAATCTTTCTTCTTTCCCCTCTCTGCGGGCTTATGTTGGATTTCTTCTTCATCATCATTTTCTTCCCTTTCGTCGCTCTCAATGCCTTGGCTTGGATATTGGGATGCTTTAACTATGTACACCTGTGGGAATTCAAGTAACTCATGTTTGGCTCTTCAAAAATGACTCATATAGAGTTTGGAGCAAAGAGTGCAAAGCAAGAGAGTGACCTTGAACTTGGTAGACTCAACCAAGTCAAAAACCAAAGCATCCCCATCATCAAGCTTGTGTTCCAATGCAAATGCTCTCCATCCACCACTAAGCCCAGCTCTTTTGCTTATGAACACAGCATCATATTCACCACCTTCCTCATCCTCTAACACCATCTCCACAGTTGATTTGGGTAGATGAACCTCACAGAATCTGTTTGGAAGCCCCTGCAATCTTTACATACTAAGGGTCCGTTTGGAGCTCCGACAATGCTAAAAAAATGGAGGGGAGCGGGGTGGGGGGTATAGCTGAAATACAGTATATGAAGATGAAGAAGGCTTTTGGGGCCATTTTCAAGATNTCCATCCACCACTAAGCCCAGCTCTTTTGCTTATGAACACAGCATCATATTCACCACCTTCCTCATCCTCTAACACCATCTCCACAGTTGATTTGGGTAGATGAACCTCACAGAATCTGTTTGGAAGCCCCTGCAATCTTTACATACTAAGGGTCCGTTTGGAGCTCCGACAATGCTAAAAAAATGGAGGGGAGCGGGGTGGGGGGTATAGCTGAAATACAGTATATGAAGATGAAGAAGGCTTTTGGGGCCATTTTCAAGATTATACAGTATTTATATCTTAAGTTTCCTAGATTCATTCACTAGGAAGAGTTGTGGGAGCTTACCAACCAGAAACAGCTGTAGACATGAGACCTAACCATTGATTTGATAAATGATGGATTTCCAGATTGCAGATTACTTTGGAGTTTCTCTGCAGCTTTGTAAGCTTGTGTTCTTTCTTCATAAGAAGCAACTTTAACTTCTTCTATTGGTCTTGCAAGATAACTGGAAGTCCAATAAAAACCATTGCATCAAATTTAAACAAATGCTGGAGACAAAACTAAAGTTAGATTTTAAAGAGTAGGTGTCACCTTGCCCATGAAGAAGAACTCGACCTTGATCTCTTGCGCAAAGATGGAAGTTCCACGACTAGCTGAAATTAAAAGGTGAAATAATAATTAGTCGCATTTTTTCGCTAGTCAAACAAAGATGTTGGCTTAGCAGCTAAACATCGAAGATGGAGATGAAGGAAAAGAAGAAGAATAAACAGCTTACATCATCATGGTATGATTGAACCGGATTACGCACACGTGAGGAGCGTCTTGGTTCTAACACGTACGTGGCATTTGGTATGCGCCTTGCTCTCTGGTAATGCATTCAATGAAAGGCTTTATATGAAGAAGATAAAGTATCACTTGAAGACAAATTCTAGCAAAGAAAAAAAAGTTAGAATTACTTAAAAACTGTGACAAAACTCTCACCAGAACCTGGACCTTCTTCTCGGGCTTCGCAATATCAGATAAGCCTCTGGAGATGTTCAAAATTCCCAGATCCTTTGAAGCAACAGAAAGACATTTCAATTTGTTGTCAGCATTTAGCTAATAGACATTTATCTCTCAAACCTAATGATCTTTTCTAGGCATTTAGCCAATAATAAGATAATTCAACACATGTTTTGGAGATGACACACTAAAAATCGTGTAGCAAATGCTACTTGTAATGTAACTATTGTCCCAGAAAAAAAGGGTACAGATTCGTGTGAAAAGGCGAAATTGACCTCAAACCGTTTCTTGTTTTCAAGAACTCGTTGCTTGCGAGCCTCTTCGTAGCTGTTGGCATTGTTGTCTTTTGCCATGGATTGCAATATAAACACAGCACTACCAAACCTGAACACCAACAACAATAAATCGTTCATTGTCACTGTCATTTCTTCATCAACCCCTTACTCCAAAACCTCATAGGTGTTCTTAGCTTATTTCTCATACTCATTTAAGAAAGCTTACACATTAAGCACCAACTCTCCATTAAAAAGATCCCATTTTTCCCCCACATTTAGTTTACAGAACTGTAATTTATTGCTTCATGTGCGTTACCCACACACTAGGCAAACTTAACACAACTCTACAGACTATATTCCTATTTCACACATTAAAAAAACTAAAATTCTTTTCAAAAAGAACCAAATAAATGGTACCCCGGAGAGTACATAGAAAACAAGAAAGGGTGTATGAAAATATTTTTCCATTTTGTCAAGTCCTCTCGGAAATGAGATGACTCATTGGGAGTTTTAGGTGAAAAATGAAATGAAACTGGAAAAAGTTCAAGTACAGATATTGATGGAGCTGAGATTTAAGAATGCTCGAACCTGAGATTAAAAAGGAAAAGAAATCTAGGGTTCTGGCAGAACGGAGCCGGTCGGAGAGGAATTGGGCTCTGCGGAGCCGGTCGGAGAGAAATGGTAAATGAGACTGTGGAAGAAGTGACGACAACTGTTTGAAATTTGAATGCATCTGTATTTACCGCCTCAAGGTCATACAAACTCCTCGGCCTTTGACAAAAATAAAGAGAGTAAATTTTTCAAAATGGTATACAATAATTATACGTTTTTCTCAAATTAGTCTTCAAGATAAACTAATTATCGAGATTGTACTCGTTAATTGAAAATAATGCCCAAGTTTAGTATCATGACTAACAGTCGTCAAAACAACATTAAAACTTATATTAATTTTCCAAATTGATCATCTATAATTGGATGTTCTTTTAAATTAATTTATTTTCAATGTAAAAACTCATTTAATATGAAAAACCAAAGCGAATTCTTCTTGTTTAATCGATTTACGACGTTTGGACGAAGCCGGAAGACCATTTCTACAAGTTTTTTTCGAAAATTGACTAATTTTGGAAAATATTTGATCAGAAATGATCATTTTGGAAAATAAATATACACGGAGTAAGTTTTAATGTCGTTTTGACGCCATTTTGATATCGGTTAGTCGAAAGGCTAAAGTGGGTATTATTTTCAATTAACAAATACCATCTAGGTAATTAGTTCATCTTATGGACTAATTTGGAAAAACACATATTTATTGAGTACCATTTTAAGAGTTTACTCAAATACAGATATGAGATTGTTTTAAATCGTTTTAGCAAATTACATTTCGAATTGAATTTTCTTATTTTCAAATATTAAGTAAAATTACCTAAGAATGCGTTTGTTAACCCAGGAAACATAACCCAGTAAAATTACCTAAGAATGCATTTCAAACATTTTTACTTTCATTGATTTATTTTTATATATGAAGTACGTAGTAATAAAATTACATTTTGCCCCTAAGATTGACAGGTTTGGGGCGTTGGCAAGCCCACATGGCTTCGCTGATCAGTACCACCACCCCCCACCCCCCCGTTTAAGACTCAGCTTCATCGGCATCCTCATGCCAAGCTCACCCGATTGCTTTTCTTCCTCTTCGATCTCTTTCTCCATTTCTCCCCTATCTATCTGCTTCGACAAGATTCCTACCCACACCATCTCATATCGCCCTTTTTGTAGTTGGCCAGCAATGATCGATGAGGTCGTCGGGATGTCGGCTGTCACACCCATCAGCCTAAATAACTACAGTATGGTTTGGCATTTGTACAACATGGCACCATAATATTTTCAAGTGACATAGTACGAATGGTTTTGTACTAAACACATTTGTATAGTGATGGTACGATATGAATTCTATAAAAATTTCAAATCGTCACGGATTGCGTTCACCCCTCATAGCCACACAAAAAGAAAGGTTATAATATCTCTTAGGCCATGGAGTATGGGAGACGAGAAGGGGGTGCGCAGTATCGCCAAGGAACATTGCCCCCATCGCGAAGAAGGATACCACGATCCCGATGCTCCCGTTGTCTTTTTCTTCTCTTTTTTGGAGTAAATTACTTAAATGATTCTTAATTATAAGTGGTTTTTCATATTTAGTCTCCAATTATAAGATATTACATAAATGGTCCTCAAATTTTAAAAATTATTCCATAATCGATCCTCTAAGGGTTATTTGTGAAAAAAATATTCAATCATATTTGGCCTAAAGGACTATTTGTAAAATAATTTCAAAAATTGAAGATCATTTATGTGATTTTTTATAATTGAAAACGAAATAGGATAAACCAGTAATTAGTGATTATTTATGGAATTTCCACCTATTTGTTCGTATTGTCTTTCTACAACTGCTCCCGCCTCACATCCCCCCTCCTTTTTGTGTTAGTCATAAATTTTCAAAAAAAAGAATATACGAAGTACTTAATTGTGGAGTACAATTAAAAAAATCTTCTAAATCCTTCATAATATTCCAGTGTTATAGCCTCACCTTCTAAATAATGTTCCATGCAAAAATGCCATTTGTCGATTTTAAATGTCATCCAGCATTTGCTTTCAGTTAAATTAGCAAAGTAAATTTAATAATCTATGCCTTTGAAAAACAATTCATAAATCAACCATTAATTACCGTCCATGGTGCTACTTCAAAAAATCCAATAAACCCAACATCAATTATCCACCATGGTGGTACTTCACACGAACAATGTGCAACAAGCCAATAAAATCCCATAAAAGTAGAGTATAAAACTTGAAAAAACACATAAAAGTTATTAAACAAATCTTGCACGGTATGATCAATTGTTGTAGGCAGACACAATAAAAACCATAGTACTCAGCTTATTTTCAGGTAATATTTTTTATTTTTTAAAAAAATTGGGAATTTCGCCATCCACAAAGGTTCACAGCTTCAGCCATCAGTATCTGTGAGCTAACTTCTCATGTTCCTGGTATTGCTTCACATACCTGCATGTATGGACAAGTGAAGGAATGATTAGTGGCGTATAATTCAATAGATGAAATAAAACTCCTCATTCATATTGGTATGCCTAAGTTGACCAAAACATACTCTTTGAGACAGTAAAGTGGGATTAAACACATCAGAATATTTTCATTGCTGGTTTAAGGAGCAAAGCAGTGTTGGAACGAAATGAGTCTAGGAATCTAGAAGGAACAGAATGTGTCTTGAAACTTGGAACTGGGCTCTTTGGAGGAAAAAAATAGAACGGTATCAAATGAACCTAAGTTTTGGTGGTGGCGAGTAGCATGGGGGCAACAATGGTCGTGACTTGATTCCACAATGGGGGGAATTCAATACACCATCTTTCTTTCTCTTTTTTGAGGGGTGTTGTGTTGGGGTTGGGGTCGTTCAATCGAACTCATTTCATTTATGTTCACCAAACACAAACTAAAGGGACTAGATTCATTGGTAATGGGTAGACAAAATCAACACAGTTATAAAACATTTGGAAACAGCTTTTCTACTACCCAGTAGGGTTAAGTTCTATGGCCATTCACCCTCCATAGACCCTACTTTCCATGGAATTTTACCAAACACCCTCTTTGCCATATTAAAACTGAGTCCGAACTGATGTAGAAAAAAATGGCATTTCATACACATTCCAAGCATATGGACTAACCAGTGTGCCTTTGACATTCCAAGCTCTAGATGTAAAACTCATACATTTCTAGACTAGATAGCACATCAAAGACGAGTGAATTCAAATAAAGTAATGTGAGAAACCATTCAATTACCACAAGTGTTAATGTGAGCCAGAATAATCAACGATAACGCAAAAAAGGGGGAAAAGGTCAATATTGTTTTGTCCTAGGGTCATTCTTAAAAATGTCATTTCCCATCCATCTGCAACTTAGGTCTAAGCAATCAGCTCCGGTATTATTCTATTTATAAACAAATTGCAGATTTTGGAGCTACCAAGCCTACCATGTAATGAACCCATTCTTCTATGCAAAAAATAATTGCAGTGTGTGTAACATCTGCTTAATAGACTGCAATCACCCGTCCAGATTCGAAAAGCTTGTTATTCCATAGAAATGGCTACCCAAAAAAATCTAATCAAAACAAAAGGAAATCATTCATGCAGAAAACATAGATTTCAGTAATAATTAGCAAAAAGTCGGAAGATCAATTTAAGAACCGAGGCAAAATAAAAAACCTATGCGTGATAATCGATTTATGTAAAAGAGTGGCGGCACGTACAAGTGGACGCCGATGAGAGGGGCGAGCAAAAGGGATGCGCTGATCCAGTTCTCGGAGATCTTGTGGTGGATCTTGCCGGGAAGGTCCTTCCATAGACCGGGCATCACCTTCTGCTGGAACGGAGAAAGCGCGTAGACGACGGCCTTCAACTTCACGGGCTGCTTCCCCATTTCTCAAGGTGCGATCTCTTCTTCTTCTTCTTCTTCCCTGCGTCGCGTTGTCTTCTAGGGTTTCAGATCGTAGAGACGAAAATGGCGAGGATTCGTGTGGTCGATTGGGATGAAGCTGGCAATGAGGAAATTTCTAGACGACTCGGGACCCGAGAAGTTCGTAGAGATATTGGGCTCCAATTTGAGCCCAATTCATTTCAGAATTTGTTATCCATTTATGTATTGAAGCCCAATTCATTGCCACTTCTTAACAAAAGAGCAATTTCTAACCAACAAAAATAACACCATTTCATGACACAGCGACCCTAGTGGTTTTGAAACACCGAGGGACTACGGTGTTTCGTTCATAAAATTGATGGTTTCTCTTTCTCCTCTCGATAAAATTCATTAAAGTGACATTACAATTTTTTTTCTCTTTCTCCTCTCGATAAAATTCATTAAAGTGACATTACAATTTTTTTTCTCTTTCTCCTCTCGATAAATTTTGTTTGTTTATGCAATTTCATTAAGTATTTGATAAAATAAAATATTCTTGTCACTTCTTGTATTGTATAACTTTTGGCGTAATTTTTTAATATGTAATTTTTATTTCTTATCGATATACCGATTTATAAATAAAATGATTTCAAAAGTGAGATATTTCTACTTGTAAACCCCAATTTGATGACAAATTGGGGACGGAGGGAGCATATATGCTTAAATACAGATATTAGTAGTCAAAGTGTAATCTTAAAGACGGTAAAGAGTCAAATGAAAAGATGATTTACGAACGGATAATATAAAATAAGTTAGAAAAAATTACATTCAACAATGTGAGCATTGTCGATCATTGAAATGGCAATAAAAATTAACAGTTTGATGGGCGGACATTGGTTAGTGCAATTAAAACATGTTAATACAAAAAATATATGTTACACTAAAAAATGTGCACAATTGTGACAACAGGTAAGGGGCCTCACGTTGTTTGCCTATCCTGGCATAATTCCACCAATCATGAACCATGTGCCACCCCTGGTGTCAACTTCGTCAACATTCATCCCTAGTGTAATTCTTGTATGCCCGGTGAATTTGACAGGGGCAATGGACAAAGCGTGCCCTCAAATATCCAGGCCGATTCGAAAGAGGTCGATGATGCGGAGCAAGAGGCAGCCCGCAGAAGGAAGGGAAAATCTATAGCCAGACCGAGCAAAACCCGTGATTAAGCGTTCAAACGCCTGGGGGACAAAGATGATGGACCCCGCAAGTCTGCTAAGCTACGTCTTGGTCTTGAAATGGGGCGGACTAGCGCGATAGAAAAAAGTCAACCCAGGGCGTCGGCGTACACCAGACTCATACAATGAGGATGACCTGGACAAGATAGGGAGCGTAGCAAGAAAACTACGTGCTCTGGAGGAAAAAGTAGAAGAGCGGGCGGGAGCGAAGAAGCATATCCTGGCAAAATCACCCTTCTCGGCTAGGGTACAAGCACACAAGCTGAGGCGGAAGATCAAGTTGGACGTGGAGAAATTCACTGGAAAAGAGGATCTAAACGTCCACCTCGACACCTTTTATAATGCAACACAAATGGCCAGGTGTACCGATGTTGAGGAATGCTTACTCTCCTTCTCATCCTTGGGAGGGAGGTCAGTGGAATGGTTTAATAGCCTTCATCATGGTAAAATTGGGTCCTTCGAAAAACTTGCTGAGATTTTCCGCAAGAAGCACTAGGACAATTGCATACAAAGGAAGAAGTTCACCTACGTTAACACAGTAGGGCAGAGGGAGAAGGAATCCTTGACTCAATTCCTAACCACATGGAGAGATGAGGTTAATAAGGTAGAAGAGATGGATGATAAGACGGTCATGTCTCTGTTGATGAATGCATTCCGGTCAGGGGGGCCTCTACATCGAATTTTGTAGAAGGCCACCTACGTCTTATCAGGAAGCCTAGTGCCTACAATACGAAATTGGAGTATGCCGAGGCAGAGGTCCTAAACAAAATCTCCAAAGATGGGACGGGTCTTGATGTTGAGACTTAAGGTAAAAACTCTTTTGAAATATTCGTTCGAAGTTTGTTCGAGGTCGGTGTTGAACATAACATGTAGGCCAGATGGATATAAGAAAAAAGAGGCATGGTAAAAAATTTGACCGGTCAAATTTTGAATGTTCTGGATTGACCGGTCACTTTTTAATTTTTGCATTTGAGAAAATCAGACAAGTTTGAAAAAATTTGTTTTTGACCGGTCAAAATTTGACCAGGCACCTGGACCGGAATTTATAACCAAACCGGCAACACACTGTGACCAAACCATTTGAGATTTCACCAAGACGAACTCAACCTAGACGTTTATTCCATTTCAACCTGGAAGTAAACCGAATCAGGAGACAAATCAAGCAAAACGTGACCTGGACGTTTTATGGAGTTGATGAGATATGCTTAGAAGTCAAGCCAGCTTTGTTGAATACCTACTAGACCTGTGACGTTTTCAAGACTTGCATCTGACCATGACATGAGATGACCTAGACATTCTAAAGATGAATTCAAATTGGAGTTACGGGTTACATTTATGGGCTGGAAAGTTCAATCATGTATGATCAAGAAAAACAAGTCCAACCAAGCAACTTCAAAATGAGAACCGGGCAAGAAACAAACCATGCAAGAAAAGAATAACCATGCAAGTTGAAAGAAATAAACCGGTAAATATTTAAGGCATGCCAAAATACAATAATATTACATAAGTCAAAGGTCGGACATCCCCCATGCCTTTAGAAATTCAGAGTTTGAAATTTAAGCCCTAGCCTATTCTAAGGGGAAAGGGGGAGATGGTTCTTCTTGATAAAGGGCCGGGAGCATCAGGGCAGCCGGATCAAAAGTAGCATCCCTCCTTTTGAACTTGCCATAGAGAAGAGATCTCTCAGACCGGGAAACCACCGGCGCCACTGTGTGTCCGGCTGCCGTCCTCTGCAACTCCACGTCTCGTTCGGAAGCCTCCTCCGGCGTCTTCTTCTCCTCACCTCTTTTCTTCATACAAGCTAATGCTAATATCAAGAAACCCAAAATTACAATTCCACCAATTGCCGTCCCAAAAATTACCCAAAATAATATCTTTTTGAATCCATTGTTATACCCACTGCTTTTGCTGCCGTCGATGTCGGGGCCACCGGGAGTTTTCCGTCTTGTCCCGAAGCTGCCAGTTCGAGGACGATGGCGAAATGTCCTTCCTTTGTACCCTTGCATATGTTCCCGTCGGCAACAATTTCGAATTCCAATGACCCGTCCAAATCGAAGAACGCACACCTGGCCTCCGCCGGCGCCGGAGCCGGTTTTATCCGTGAGAACTTAATCAGAAAAGGCGCCTCCGACGCCCATAAATCGAGCTCCGGCGCCTCCGAAGCCGACAAATCGGTAGCGTCGTAAGCCAGGAGGCCCAATACAGGGGTCAAATAAACGAAACTTTCCGGCAGAGGGTAATAGACGCCGGACCAGTTGCCTAAATTATGGTAGACGAGAGCCAGCCTCTCCGCGTACGGCTGCGCCGCCACTCCGGCCGGAATGCTGAATTCATTGAAGTCTCTGAACCCTTTCCTCCTCATGCTCCCGCTCCTCAGTCTCACCGCCGAAACTCCGATCCCGGCCAGGCCGGGAAGCACATCGCCGTCGCAGGGCACGCCAGTCCTCTGCCGAGCAAGCGCCCGGAATGCTCGCTCTTGAAGAAGCGCGTCGAGTGAACGCGCCGACATCTCCGCTCTCCCCGCCGGGAAATCAAGAACCGATGAGGCGCACGCCGTCAGGAAAACCAGAAATCGAAGATCTAAGGAAGGGTGTTGGGAACTCTGTTTCTTGGAGATGGCCATGATGATTTAACCCTCCCGTACTTGACTTTGAATGCGGGTATGAATCAATGAATAATCGGTAATGAATGCGGGTATGAATCATGGGAGTTAATTGTATCCACCATCGTCCTTCTACTTCTTTCATTACTTGGGGGTGGATAATAAAAGCTTGTTGGACTGAGATAGAGATGATAATAGTTGTTCAAGATGATTCTGATGTAAAATCATATACTCTCTATATAAAATCATACTCTCCCTCCCCAATTTGATTACAAATTGCGGGTTATGGAATAAAATTTCTTACTTTTTAAAATCATTTTATTTACAAATTTGTATATCATTAAGATATAAAAATTACATATTATAAAACTATGCCAAAAGTTCTACAAAACAAGAGGTGACAAGAATATTTTATTTTATCAAATATTTAATGAAATCGCGTAAACAAACAAAAGTTATCAAGATAAGAAAAAAATTGTAATATATTTAAGGACGGAGGGAGTATGTTATTGAGAGAAGATGATTCACATATGGACTATGATTTATTCACAGATGATTATTCACAGACGATTATCGTTTATTCGCAGACGATTATCGTTTATTCATATATAATTCTCGTGTATTCACAGATGATTATTATTTATTCACAAATGATTATCGTTTATATAATTTGTTTATTTATAGATGATTGTCGTTTAATCACTAGAAAATTATCATTTATTCGTAGATGATTATCGTTTATGAAGATATAAAGTCATATACTCGGTAAGTTGTTATAAATAGGAGCGTGGGTGCGACATTGTAGCATGGTCCAAGCTTCTTGTTCTCTTTGTTGATGTGTCACATTTTATAAATGTCTTATCTGATGTAATTCTAGTTATATATTATTTGCATTTATATTTAAATTTGTTTCTCATCTGATTCTAATAACAAAATTTTATACCCCATAGGTAATAAATACTCCTTATGTCGGAATTTTATGTTCTAGAATTGATCGAACTCGCATTTTTAGGCAAGTTACAAATTTCATCCATTTTCTATAATTACGGATAGTTCATTTCTAGCAACAACCGTGGAAGTTTGGATCTATTGAGAATAGGATTGAGAACCATATGTAGAGATCTAAAATTATTTTCTCTACCTATGAATGGATTTGACATCCTTTAAAATAACAAAAAATGTTCCAAACAATTTGAGACGGATGGAGGATACATACTATACAATGATAACAAAAAAAATCATCCTAAATATGAGTAAAATATAGAGAGAATACCAAAATAGGAGTTTAATGTTTTTATTCTCTAAATAAGAATTCATCCTATGATAATGTCACACTTAGGAGCTGTTAATGAACAGATTCTGAATAGGTAGGTGCTGAACCAGTAAGTGGTCTGAACCATTAAGTGCTGAACCAGTAAGAGGTCTGAACCATTAAGAGCTAGTATATTGCTTAACTATTCAGAGACAAATGTCTGATCAATTCAGTTAATAGGTCTTAACCATTCAGACTCTGTATAATACTTAACCATTCAGAAGCAAATCTCTTAACCATTCAGACATCTGAACCATTAAGAGGCTGAAACAAACAGTCTGAACCATTAAGTGCTGAACCATTCAGACATTTGAACCATTAAGAGGCTGAAACAAACAGCCCCTTAGTAATGTAAATGGTCAAACTTGGTAATGTAAGTGTATTTTAACTCATATTTCGCGAATAAAAATATGAAACTCATATTTTAATGTATTTTCAATGTTTTTACTCATATTTTAATCTTTTCCGCCAATAACAAAGCATTATCTCACTAAGTGGCTCGGCTACATGGATCAAATGACGTTATTGCACTCTATCATGAACCATATTTGCAGTAAGATCATTTACGCAAAAGCCCTCCTTCACTGCTTCGTGCAATTGTTCTTAGATCTACCTTTTTCTCTAGCTATATGTTTATCCACTATTTGATCAAATTTTCTCACCGGATGCTCTATTGGTATTCTTTTCACATGTCGAAACAACTTAAAATGAGTTTCTACAACCTTTTCTACAATAGGTCTCACTACAATTTTATCTCTCATATTTTCATACATAATTCTACTCGTATGCGTATAACCACTCATGCCTCGAATCATCTTCATTTTGGCCACACTAATTTTGTGACAATGTTCTCACGTTGCTGCCCTACACTCTGTTTCATACTTTCATATTTATTCTATATATTTTAAATAAATTTATACCATAAGATTTTTGTTTTTTTTTGAAGTTTTTATGAATTCATCATCTATTTTTTTCTTTTCAACTACTATAACGGTTTCTCAATAATTTAAAGGATTTGTTTATTCATTTCGTCCGAAAATGTTCTTCTCATTTTTTTTTTTGGTTAAAGTTTGTAAACTTTGACTCTGATACGCAGAAAAATACATTTTATTGTTATATAAAATTTACGGAGTATATGAATATATTCTCATTGAAATGTATATTACAAATATCAAATTTTTATAAAATATATTTATGTATAAATATAGATATTTATGGTCAAAGTGCAACACTAGAAATTGTAAAAACCAAATGTAAAGAATATTTCTAGACAGAGGAAATATATATTTTTTCATTAACAATTTTAATAAGATAAAATGTTTTTTTCGCCATTTTAATAATTTTTTCAAAAAAAATCCAAAACACAAGATTATTTTCTTATCTATGGTAGCTGGAGCATTGGATCCCCCAAAGTAACACCAAGGTTCAAGCGGAGAGCAGGCGATGGCGATGGGCGGACGAGAGGCGCAGCCCGCGAAACAACTCGAGGAATGCACTGTTTCCAAGTTAGTATCCCATATTCTTCATTTTCGAGCTCAAATCCGTCTCCATCTCTTTCCTATCTTCAATTGCCTGAGTGTTTAGTGTACAATTGACAAGTATCTGGAAGAAATCATCGGCTTCATATTTCTAATTAGGGTCCGGCGCTCTGATTTGGTATGTACAGAACGTGTATGCCTTTGAAATTTCTGTAGAAATTCTTCAATTTCTTCTTCTGAGTCCAATTGTAGATAGTTGTAAGAATTAAGCTTGACTGATCGCTTGAAATTTGATGATATTTTCAAATGTATAGTAATAATTTAAAAAGACAAGACCTTAATCCATGGGTAATCAATTTCATAGCTTGAACTGCTATCGTTTTCTCTTTTCAAGTCAAATTTCTTATGTGATATGTTCATTTTATAAACCTTAGTGTATTGATATCGTAAAAGAATTGAGTATTTTGCTAAAAAGAAAAGATCCCATTGCAAGCCAATGAAAAGTGTGAGAGGGTAGATATTTCACAGGTGGACCTTAGAAGTTAGAACCACAGAATAACTACTCTTTTTTTCAAAGTTACACACATAACTTGAACAAAAAAACTGATTTTCATTATATCCAACTCTTTTAAACTAAAAAGTACACCAAACAAGTTAAATATAGTTAAAGCAACTAATAAATTTAAAAATATAGCTATATTAATAATGATGATGATGATGATGATGATGATGGTGATGATGATGATGATTTTCAATAGTTTTACCTTACAAACGTATAAAACTTGTAATTTGGCAAACAAGGGCCCTTTATACGAATTTCGTAGTGGTTTGTGTTACCTTACATGAAATGAGATGCCCCTGGCTGGAAGATCAACCATGTGAAAATGTCAAGCTATCCTCTACAAAGAAAATGAATTTAGCTATGCAATAAATCAATTCCCTTTCAACAGTTGACCACATGCTATTGCTCTTCTGGATAGCTTTGCCTTCTTAAGATTAAGAAAAAACACCCAAGTGAACTCAAATTTCAAATAGATAAATATTTTATTGTATTTTCCAAACCTATAGTCTATATCACTCCATTTCGTAATATCTGTATTATATTTCCCAATATGATGTCTTAACTCAAGTATGCTTTCTGAAATTTTATTGTCAGACTTTCATTAGCAATGTGTCAAAGTAGTCATTAGCAAAAAAACATAAGAAATATTAAGGAAATCGGGTTCTTTAATTCTTCAAGGAATATTAGAATGTGATTCAACCACAGTAATTACGGAGTAATAGATACTGTATCAAATTATCATTGATTTATCGCTGACATTAGTCTTTAGATCACTCTTCTAGATCTATGTTATTTCCATTTTTAAAATAGCTCTTAAGATTTCCTGAAATCCCAGGGAACCCGTAACCAAAGTATTGAACATTCAAAAGAGTAATTTGTTTTGCTGTTATATCTGTTATTGAGGTTTATCAGTAAGTTTTTTCACTGATCATAAACTTATTTGACCCCGCTGGTTGAATTGGCTGATAATGAAATGAAATGGTTTACATGGTACTTTTTGTCTTAAACTTAAAAAAAATTGTCTTAAGTTGTTGGAATGGATGAAAATGGCAGTTATGTAACCAAAGTATTGAACATTCAAAAGAGTAATTTGTTTTGCTGTTATATCTGTTATTGAGGTTTATCAGTAAGTTTTTTCACTGATCATTAATTTATTTGACCCCGCTATTTGATTTGGCTGATAATGAAATGAAATGGTGTACATGGTACTTTTTGTCTTAAACTTAAAAAAAATTGTCTTAAATTGTTGGAATGGATGAAAATGGCAGTTAGGTCCCCATTTTTAGACGGTATTTTCTTTGATCTACTAGTCCCTCCGTTCCAAGATAAACTTAATGATTTGACTTCACAGAATTACTAGAAGTGTTGAAAAGTAAAAAATGTATGGTTATAATTTGTTTAGAAGTGAGAGAAATGACGTGAGCCACGCATTTCTTTCCTCAAAAGCATATGAATAAAGTTTGAAGTGTATTTCAGGATGGATGAAAAAGGAAAGTGTGAAGTTTATTTTGGGACAGGATTTTACTGGGTTTGTTGTTTATACTTTCAAACACCTGATATGTGATTTTTTGTTGCATTATTCATCCATGAAAGGTAAAATGGTAAATTGGGATAAGTTCTAATATTTGTTAGTTCTAAACAAAAAAAATTCAGCGCCCTTGGGACATGGGTGTTTTCTGTTGCCGGTGCTTTGCTTGCAATACCAGTGGGTATAAAGAGGAAGTCATTGGGACCCCTTGTATTCTTTGGGACAACCGGAACCATGCTTGATATCATTATGGGAATCAATGCGTGTGAGAGAGAACACGCCGAACGCCAGATGAAGCTTATGGAAGCACAAAGTCCTCCACCAGACACCACAATAGAGTGATCCTTTTGCCGGATTGCTTTTGATTCTGCCGTGGCTGTATTACTCCATTTGTGCTTCTTTATGTTCTGAGTCTAGTTTCCGGTGTTGGTTAGTATGAGTCTTGTGTTTGTGCTCTTACTGTTCTCCTGCTCTTGATATCGTGTTGTCGTTGTGTATACTCTTGTATTCGAGCCGGGAATATCTTGAAAACAGCATCATTACTGCCAGGTAGGGATATGGTATGCATACAGATATCCTCTCCAGATTTTACTGAGTTTGTTATACGAGGCAATACTTACCGCGTTTGGCTTGAGACAAAATGTAATGAACTTATTTCAAGCCCGTCTTTTTTCTCATTCGGGATGATTTACTACTATTCGTTTGGTGGCATTTCGAATCGGTTTGGTACCATTCCGGACTGATTTTTGGCAACCTAATATATAAAAAAAATATTCAAAATGTAAACGTAAATCCCAAGCATTGTTCCCAAACGAAACTGAAATCTCACTTTATTGTTATCAAAGATCAATTTTATCCGCTTGTAATGAAAAAAAATAAAGGGAAGCACATAGCATTTTTCTTGTGCTTATAAATTGTACTCGTATTTAAAAATCTCAGCTCGATTTTAACTATTTGTTGCAATTCAATTTCAGATCTATTGGTGAAATGGGGTTCAATTTGAATCGACTGATGTTGAAAAATCGGAAAATGAGCCGTTGTTAGGGGTGAAATGAAAGCGTAAATACACGCAAAAGTTATGAGAAAGTTGGGATAGTAAATAGGACGATAAATTTGGAAGGGAAGAAGTATGCAAAAAAAACTGTACCAAGAGTTCTAAGAAATTAAAAATAACGATTATATTATTTTATCAAACGGGTAACAAAAATAAAAAGTAGCATAACGCATACACATTGAAGAAAATTCTGGGAAACAAGTTCACAGCCACACTATTTACAAAGAGCCAGCCATACATAAGTTCTATGCAGCCTGAGTTGCAGCAAACTCCAAAGCATTATTAATATTGGTTTAATCTCATCATGGTTGATTTATTTGGGATTCATTATCGTCGTCATCAACAACAATAACAAGCACTAGCTAGCTAGTAGCCTCCTTGAATGAACTCATTGAGTCGGTTCAGCTCGTTCCTGTGCTCGCTCACCACGGCACGAACCACGTCTCCAATCGACACCATCCCCACCATCGCTGAGTCGTCAATGACCGGGATGTGCCTAATACGGTTCTCTGGTCGACAAACGAGTCACCCATTTTGCATAAGTGTACATGGTTAGTTTGCAACAACAACCGTATATACTACCTCTGTCCCACACTGCTGGTGCAGTTTGACTTTTTTTATAGTCAGATTAGATGAACTTTGGTCACCGATTCAATCAAAATGGAAAACCCACTAGGGTTCCCCAAAATTGGTGCCCCCATGTTTTACCCACGCCTCATTTTTACTCTCTCCGACATTCGGGTGAAATCGTGCTTGTGAGAGCAAAAATGAGGGGGGTAAAACTGTGGGCTCATGTTTGACTGGAAAAAGTCAACTTGGACAAATACTTTAGGATGGAGAGTGTATGTCCTGATATTTAGACTGATGGGAGGTCGTCTTAGTTTACGGATGGGGGTAAAACTGTGGGCACCTGTTTGACTGAAAAAAGTCAACTTGGACAAATACTCTAGGAAGGAAATTCTACCTGTCATCAGCTGCATGGCCTTCAGAACCTTGGTGTGAGGCGTGACAGTGATGAGCTTATTCTACCAAAAAAATGTAAAAAAAACAGACTTTAAGAGGAACGGTTTTGACACAGTAAAAAAAGAAATAACATACTATTAAATTTACCTCTTCAGTCATAATGTCTCCAACCTTTGTGGATTTTGATGATCTCCCTTGTACTATGATTTTCCTGAGGTAATCTAGTGTAGGAAACAGAATAAAAAAAACAAACAGATGAGATAAATGATCTGCCTTAAAGGACAAGTGGGAACATTCTATCACGCTTCATCAATTCACTTCACTCAAAACACAACCAATTACCTCTTTCGGTGATAATCCCAGCAATTGATTTCTCTTCCCCGGGTTTCACCACCACCAATGCTCCTACATTGTGGTGAGTCATCTGCACACCCAATTTTCAAGACATATTTTATACCCGAACAACATTTGCCCAAATTACTCGTCCGTTGAGCTAAATTTGTCATGCACAAATTGTGCGCTACTCTTTCTGAGAACATTACACAAAAAAGTAGTTTTGCTTGATCAAACGCGACCTTTTTTGGGACAAGAAGTTGTTTGAAGTGGATGGAGTAGAATTGTGTCTTAGACTCTTAGGCTATGTATTATGAGTAATTCTACTTTGACACCACTCATGACACCAAGCCAAGTTTGCATATTCATATTCCTTTGATCATTTGGATTTAAGGCATATAATCAAGAACGGGAAGAATAACATTTGCATAAAGAAAAAAAGACTCACCGACTTCACAGCGTCATAGACAGAATCCTCTGTGGTGCACCACAGCCATGATCCATCTGCACCTTTGCCCTTAGATTTCAAGACGTCAGAGATGGTGGTGCTTTCGAACCCGTGCTCTTCCATGCGAACAGCTGAAGTTGTTGACTCGCGACGAGCAAACACAAGCTGGTTCACCATCGGACTGCCCAAACGGGCATGTCTTAAGACCGCCATCTTGAGGACACTCCCATGAGAAAAAATTGCTTGAATTCCTTTTTGCATATTGGCTACAAAGACAAACAACATTCTTATATATTTTTAAGGCTTGTGCTAGGGTAACCCAACATTTTTACCCCATGTTTTGCACAGACACCCGTAGACAATAATTGTCTGTGTGCAAAGCATGAGGTAAAAAATGTGGAGTTACCGCGGCTTGATTCTATTTCTTATTTGATAGTATGTATATAACATTCAGGCAAACACAAATCTTTTTGCTCGGGTTGTAACATTCAGGAGAGATAAAAGTAACATTCTATTTACTCAGATTTTCACACATCACACCAAATCTAGCTCAACTCTCACTTCAGTTCAATACTTTCTGTTCAGATCAGAAACATTTTTTTCTTCTGTTCTGTTCAACACATTTACTTTCTAGAACAAGTAACAGTGAGATTCGAACTCGTGAACTTTTGTTAATAAAGAATCTGTTCAACCAAAAACTCAAGCTTGCAGTTGAATGTTCAAGGCATATATATTTAAACTTATATTCTAACAAAAAAAAAGATCAAACTAAGTAATCAAACTTGAAATTCATATTTCCACAAGAAGCAGAAGAACATATATAGAACCCTAACCACTTGAAGAAACCAGGAAAGCTGAAATGTAAGAGGAAAAATCAAAACCACAGAAGCATAAAATGAGTTGAAAGAATGATGATGAGCTTCTGTGATCTTACCTGAGCAAAGAAGAAAGAGGAAAAGGTTGAAGAAGAAGATGAGAAGAAAGGGATGGGGTGGGGTTTCTTTCCATTATCCAAAGAGAAAACTTATCTTGATGATGGACGGTCGCGATCTTCTGTTGTACACTTGTCAGCATCCCAGGGGAGGACCGTGACCCCTCACCTCATGCTTTGCTCATGGGAAAGATCAACAAAAAAGAATCCTATTAACTTCGTTTTTTATTCAATTTTTTTTTGAGTTGTAACAACTCTAATACAATATCGTATTAATCTATACATTATAAAAGAGTAATTTATTAAGATACAAAAAGTTTTTATACCAGGTCTAGGATTCTAAAACGAACGAATCGAATATTATAAAATTTTATTTGTTACTACAAAAAAACACTAGAATTCTAAAATGAATACATGTATTTGAAAAATGATACTCTGTATCATTATTCATATTTATATTCATTTTTTATACGAATAATTATTACTATGCGTATTCGATTCAATATTAAATTTAAATATTTGATTCGTGTTGTGTTATAGAATAGTATAAATTTGAGTTTTTTATGTTTTGTAACTTCAAATTTTTAGAATAATAGCATCTGATGGTACGAGAAGGTTGTTCGGTTGTATGACCGCTGAACGAAGTGATTTTGTTGAAAAATAAAAGAAACTTTGCAATGTATACTGCTCTAATAGTGAATTAGTGATCAAGTGTACTGCTCAAGTATTGGGTCTTCATATCAATTACTCCATATTTCAATTCATATATTTACACATTCATTTAAAATGATTTAAGTAGTTCTTTTTCTACATGGCGACCAAAAGCTAAATGTGTAATTGTGTATCATCAAGTATCAACTACGGACTACTACACTAAAAAACAAACTACAGAATACTCTATATATTATGTTCTGTATTTATTATGAAGTCGTATATTGAGTGTTAATTTTTATATTTATAGTCGAATACTCGAATATATTCAGTAACATATCAAACCGAATGCATATGCATTCGTATTTGTTTTCTTTCAAATTCTAATAAATTTTTGCATGCCTAGTCGTATTCATTTTTTCGAATATGAATCATTAATTTTGAATATGAGCTACAAATCAAACTTTTAGCTTTAAAAAGAATCATAGTGACTTTATTATTATGATACTTTAAAAAACTTACTTTATTTATCAGGGTACTCAGCTCAATTTATTTTTTTTTCCAAAAATCACATTATCTATTAATACATAAAAGAACTGTTCAAAAAATATTTTATAAAATGAATCTAATGAATTGCTTTGATATTGAAATGTATTACAAGTCATATTTGATTGAAGATCAAAGTTAATTATACTTGGTCAAAAAAATCAAATTCAACAAATAGACTGGAGTGAAATATATATATACATTCCTAATTTCCTTGATTTTTCCGAATTATCTTTATAATTATTCCCTTTTGTATTAAGATAAAGAAAAATTCAAATCAATATTCCAAAATTTGGGCCAATGGACAAGAGTAACCCCATAAAAGGTCTAAGGTCTTTTATACCAAGTGATTTTAGTTTTCAAAAATTAAGAACTATAAATGTGTTGTTTTATTATTAAAGAGCAAGTATGAAAAAACCATTTTTCATACGAGATCATTTCCTTAAGAAAATAAATATCTGTTTCAAAAAATTTAAATTTCACGTTTAATTTTCAATGTTGTTTTTAAATTTCAAAAAATTATATCGTGAACTTTTGGAAATAAGTACAAAAATATTATTACCCACTCGGAAATAAAATGGGCAATTCAACTTTCGTAATAAAAGTTTATAATCTCTGAACATGGTTAGTGTACAAAGAGTAATGCTAGAGTTACAAACAAACAGTTCACAAAATTCACAAACTTATTTTTTTAGCACTTTTCTAGAAATAAGATGCACTCAAATAATAAAAGATATTTTAATTATAAATTCACAAAAGGTAAATTTGTAAAGTTTGTGAATCATAAGTTTGTGACTCTAGCATTTTTCGGTATATTGAGTCATAAATGAGCTTTAATGTCATTACTTTAATTTCAAACATATTTCAGAATATATTAAGTTTATTTTTTAAAGTTAATAATCATTGTGAAAGTAACATGTGAATTTATTCTACTTTATAATAGATTATTAAATAAAACATATGGAATATAAGTAAATAAAAATTATCGTGATGCTGATATAGTAATTGAAAGTCTTAAATCCAATCTCTTGGTCTAATACAAAGAATTACCGATTAAATTTTTTTCAATTTAACTAAAAAGTTGGGTTTAAGGTTGTTTGAATAAGTGAATATTATTGGGTAAACAAATTTTCTATATCGAAACCAAATTCGAGTTAATTTCAATCTGATTTTTTAGCGTAATTAGAATTTAATTTTTTTAATGGTACTGAATCCGAATTTAACTAATGCGTGTCGAATTTAATAATTGTTTCCTACTCGATTTCAGTTCAAAATGAACTCAAATATTTATTTTTTTTCTATTCACTTTCAAGTTCAAATTCAAACATTTTAAAAATTAAACCGGAGGAATTAAGATCCGGTTCGGGTTTGATTTTGACTCCGAATTGGACGGGCCCAAACTCTACAATTATTAAACTTCTCCCCAAATTCAACATATAATTCGCCATTCTTCCACATACGCGTACGAATACGAGCTCAGGTATTTCCTTTTTCTACGCTTCTTCTTCTTCTTCTCTGCGTAAACCTCAAACCTCATCGCATACTTTCATGCAAAAATCATGTCCAGTTTCAATTACACAGATAGGAAGCACAATCAGTATATGTTTTAATCGTTAACGAATTTTCAGGAGCTTAAATGTTCAAGTTCTGCTCCGGAAATGAATCAGCTCTCGAATGCATTTTCAATGCTGGATTTGGATGTTTCGGATAGCCAGGAAGACTCGGAACTTGCTGCCATAGGAGTCGGTGAGATGAATTTGTTGAGCTCTGGTAGTGGTGGAAATGGAGTCGCGGAACTTGTTAATTTGAAATTAGTCTATCAAAACGGAATTAATTAGAAAATATTGAAACGTGTTTGGTGTGAGATGATAAAATGCATTGAGATTTTGCATCTTTGTTATGTTTACTTACATTGCTTGTCCAGCAAGTCAAAAACTGTATTCCCTGAATTGATGATGATACAGGAAAAAGGAATAAGGAAGACGACTGCTCGGGAGAGGTGACTAAGCTAGAAAATGATAATGACGGGGAGAAGGTGGGAATTGGTAATGACGAGTTCAAGTTGCCACTTGTTTGGATTGATCTCGAAATGACTGGTAATGGTTACTCATAGGACATGCTTATCGAAGTTTTTTCAGCTATTACTTCACTGGAACTGATCAATTGTTCCTCCATTTGATCTCTATGGACATTCGTATTTCCCTTGATGTATCGCGCAACTCAAAGTTTCAAACACCAATACTATTGAAAAAATTGACAATTGTTATTTATAACATGACGTGCTAATTCCTGTTACACGAGAAGCAAGTAGAAATACTTATCATGCATCCATTTTGGGGTAATTTTTCACCGTTCCATAAGAAATAAAAAACAGTTGTGTATAAAGATCTGCTTGATCTATTCCCTTCCACATTTCATAGATGACTTGTTTTTAAGACTGTAGTCCGAATTTGTTTGGGTAGCTCTCACTGACGGAAAGTTAACCAAGGATGATGGCCTTGTAGGTTTGAATGTTGAAGTAGATAGGATATTGGAGATTGCTTGTGTGATCACTGATGGAAAGTTGACCAAAATTGTTGAGGTAATTTATGAAATTCTCTCTTTATGTTTCCACCGCCTTTTCTACACCATCTTTTAGAACTTGCACTTACCAAGTTGGCATACTCATATTTTTAAATATTCAATGTTAAGAAGATGAAAGTTGATATTGGCATGTTAACATCTGTGGGGGAACCTGATTGAGGCTACTTTCTTTAAGCATGTGCGTGAGAACTTACCAATAGCATGCCATTAGTTATCAGAAGTCATAGATGCATTCCTTGCACTTTCTTTAGAATCAAACATTGCAATTGGATGAATTCATTCTTACTTTATGTAAAATAAGTAATGGACATTGAGTCAATTTGTTCCATGCACCCTCATGACACAATGTGATATGGAGGGTGATATGACATCTAATCTCTGGAGGTTCACATGCCATTGTATGCAGAGGGATATAATATACCAGTAGGCTTAAATGAACTTATCATATTCTGCAAATAATACAGGGACCAGATTTAGTAATTAATCAACCAAAGGAGTGCCTTGATAATATGGGAGAATGGTGTCAAGAGCATCATGCGACAAGTGGTAAGTTGCTTGACTAATTCCTGCATTTCCATTAGTCATTGTTTTGTTATGGTGAAATAGGACTATAGGAGAAATAAATAAAGAGAGAAATACGCGAGAAATGGGGAATTTGTGTCGCTCGGGGAGAACAGATATGGCAGGAGAAATGAAAATTGTGGGTCCCCCACATGTATTGTACCTTCTTCCGTATGGAGGAAAATTTATTCCTTCTCTATTACTACTTACTAGTAATTTCTTCTCCATTTCTCTCATACCAATAAACACACATTGTCTCATTTTTTAATCTTCTTTATCTATTATTACCCATTTCTCTCTATTTCTTCCCTGAACCAAACAAAGTTTTAGTGATATGCATTTCCTACCAATGAATACTTGTTTTTGATGTCGTTTATTCTTCCACCTTTCATCCTTTGGAGCATTATTGCAGCGTAAAAGCCTGAATGAAATCATGAAACTAAATTTTTTGACGTAATGTAGGTCTGACTGAAAAGGTGCTTGGGAGTACAATCACTATTGAAGAAGCTGAGAAGCAGGTATATTTTTCCTCGCAGGGTATAGCTGACAAGCTATATTGATTCATTTGCATGGCATTAATAATTAAACAAGTAGGCTTTTGACATTGCTATCCCCCCACACCCACAAAACCATTTATTTTCAAATGAACTGCCATGCAAGGTTTACCGTTGATTTTCAATCCAGTACTTGTATATAGAACTGTTTGCTTCTCGTGCAATATAGTTTCAGAATATTGTTTTCGTATCTCTGTTCAGTTGTACATCAAAAACTTGGCATATGTGAACGTTTGCTGCTAAACAAACTATTGTTCCTTTCTTGGTAACTCTATTAAAATTATCTTTGGACACTTGCAAGCTTTGTAATCAAGATATTTTATTTGTCATCCATAAAAGATCAACACATATATACACTGTCTGTACCTTGTTAATCATTTCCTATTTTTTCTTGCAAGTTATTGCCACTTTTGGTCCCAATATTTCTAGTTTTGCCTGCATTGAGACCCTCAGCTCACTGTAAAACAGGCAAATCTAGAAACATCGGGGACCAAAAACGGCGGTACTTGTTTTTATGCCATAGGTTATTGAGTTTGTGAAGAGCAATGTTGGGGGCACATACTCACCACTTCTTGCTGGGAATTCAGTTTATGTTGATTTCCTCTTCTTAAAGGTATGTGAAAACTGTGTAGTTGTACTATCTGATATCTTCTCATTTAGAATGATATCGGCTGGAGATGTAGACGTGTAATAAGGAATATGCTCCGTATATCCTAACTCAAACTCAATAGTGCAAGCATAAATTTTCAGATGAAATGATAGTTTAAGCTAGAAGTGGAATATCTAATTCCGTTTTCTTTTGTGTGGCAGAAGTACATGCCAGAACTGGCAAATCTTTTCTCACATGTACTTGTTGATGTCAGCAGTGTCAAGGCATTATGCATCCGTTGGTTCCCCAGAGGTGAATTGCCATCATTCTGTACTTGGTTTGTCAAATTGATGCCCACCAAATAATTTTTTCAACAATCCCGTAAACCCTCACATCATCTATTGAAAATTCAAAGTTCATTTCAAGAAAATCTAATCCGTGTCCCAGTTCATGTGATAAAGACCCCTCAATGCCACACATAATGAATTCTGACATAATGAATTCTGTGTTAAGGGACTTGGAATGGAGGGGGATAAATGGATTGTTTCCAAACCCTTTTAGAAATGAAAATTGGGAGCCATGGGAGGAAAAGAAAATGTTAAGTAAAATTGAAAATGTGATTTTTCTTCCATGTGAGGAAATTGAGAGATAACATCAATCTCTTCCCTTCCCTTCCCCTTCTCCTTCTCTCGTCCCCCACCCCTGCCCCGCCCTCCCTTCTCCTTCTCCTCCTCCCTCACTCTCCACTCCCCCTACTCAACGCCAAGCCCCACCTCCGTCCTCCCTCCTCTTTGAACAATGTCATATTTCGTTTTCTCTACAATAACCAAACAAAGAAGTTATTGAAAAATATTTTCTTCACCAATTTCCCACTGACCAAACAAGATAAAGGTTTTTGGTTTATTCAACTCTCTTTTCATTCCCTAAACATCTTCCTTTCTTCCATAATTCCCCAAACCAAACCTAGTGTTTTTCTGGTGTTAATGTGGTGTCGGTTTTTGCATATATAGAGAACAAAAGAGCTCCTCGAAAGGAAAACAAGCATAGAGCTATGGATGACATCAAGGAGAGCATAGCAGAACTCAAATACTACAAGGATAGCATCTTCAAATTTACCAGGTTCAGGAATTAAAAGGAATCTTCCACCCGGAAACCGGGGACGGGCCTTTTTGCAAAAAAAAAAGATGTTTTCCCATTTTGTGTATAGCGTGGCAATTTATGAAATTTCATACTATGAACCATCTCTGCAAAATCATCACCCTACTGTTATGTGTCATGATTTTTGTGAGCCAAACAAGCCTTATGTGAGCCTCTCTGTATGGACGTATGATAATATTTGGTTTAAAGTTGTTTCATTATCTGTTTTTTCATTCATTGCTATTCGCTAAGGGCACGTTTGGCACGGTGGAAGTTTTGCCATGTTTGCTTCAACTAAAGGTTTGCTCGTGTTAGAAATTATGAGCAAAAGACAAATCAAAAGGGACAGGGAATACTCTCTTCTTATCTGAGATTATTGATATTTTCTCCGTTTGGATTTGGTAATCTACATTTTTCTTTTCATTTATCGAGAATTAGTTCTTTTTTTTCATTTAATAAAGAAATTGTGATAAATAATCTAAAATATCCTTGAGAATTAGAAATGAGAGTGAGATCATTGTCCACTTGAATAAATGTCAAACTCATATCAAAGGTATTTGATATTTTAAACCCATCAACAGTAAATTAGTAAATTCAATAAAATCCCACACGATTCTACCCATTTTTGGAAGGAGACTTTAGAGAAATTCCAACTCAATTTTAATCTCATATCTTAAAAATGAGATTTTTGTAAAATAGAAAGTGGACAATAGAATCTGTACGGACAAGCATTTCATCATCAAGCACAATCCTATATAATTTGCAAACACTCCAATCACCCCATGGCATGTCCCTAAAAAAGCATTATTACATCATTCATTTATGTGTTCATGAAAGGGAGGCAGGAAACTCTGTTTTCTCCAACACTACACACACATTTTTGAAGTAACGGCAGTCGTAACGCTTTTGATAAATATAAATTACAACATATATCTTATATAGCACTTGTCGTTACTTGGAACTCGAATCCTGGCTGTGTATAGCTTGCCACAGTTCCCTTAAGAAATCTCTTTGCACCCCGGCTGAAGGCCCCACCCCTGCCCCTAGTGACATCTGAAAAACAAAAAAAACGTTCAAGCATTGTGAGTAGGGGTAAGGTCTCCATACACAAAACCTCCCACGTCTTGGATGATTCTACTGGGTTGATTTTTTGTTGTTGAGGATCGGTTTGTTTGATGGAACAATATTTTACGAGAAAAATGTTTTCTAATTTTCATGTGTTTTGGCACGTTCGTGTGTTTGTCACAAACTTATCTTCCCCGCAAAGAAATAAAATCCACAGCAAGTTGTTTTCCTACAAACAAACAGTTCCTTATTGTTAATCATCTTAAACTTTCTTTCCATTTCCTTTGTGGAGAAATTATACCTGGTGGGGAAGCCTCCAAGGCATTGCATTTCTGGTGTACATGACCGGCCTTTCTGAAAACCCATTTAAAAGGATTTTAATTATATACTTCAAGTAAACATGGTAAGAAGGTAGATCAACAAACAAGAAACAAATCATAACATAACCGACCACGAGATTCGTTTTAAATATCTACTATATGTAATGAGCTTGTTGGAAAAATAATTTTAGCCTTTGAAAAGTTATCATAAACTCACCCGGCGAACCTTCAGGCAAGGTATTATACATATTCATGGTAGCCACCCAGCCTGTATGAATCAAGACAGATCATTATTATATTTGTAAATCTGTAATGTACACCGAAGAAGGAAGACCACTTGCTCCCGCCCACACAAAAATATATGCTTCTATTCAATAGTAAAAGAAAATAAAACGTGCAATGATTTTTGAAAATGTACTCCATTCAAACGGGGGTCATATTGCCAAGTCAAATCTTTCTAAACGCCCAAACAGTAAAAAAGGGGGGGAAACAATGAATTGGGGAATATAACAAGTCAGTGATATTTAAATCAGGAAACTGGACATCACTTTTGGACAGACTAAACATTAAGGTAGATAGACAAATTGGGGTGCAGAGGAATATAGAGGAACCCATTCATGGTAATGGAAAATAAAAGTTTCTGTTCTTTTTTGTACATCTATAGTGATTATGCCACAACGAAGAGAGATTGGTTAAAAAAAATTAACCTTTTTTCAACAGAAACTATTGACCGGGGAAATAAAAATTATGGACCAGACAAGCATGCTTTTGTGAAACTGTTCAAAATTTGAAAAGTAAATTACCATATTTTATAAACAAATTTTTCCTTCTATATTTGGTATAAGTCATATAATAACAACACATGCATGTACATAAATACATTGAAACTTGTAAGTGGGCTTTGGAACTACACGGATAAGGCCTGATACAGGAGCATGTCTGTGGTACATCAGAAATAAATGGCTTGCCATAATTGGTTTACAAGAAGCAAAAAGATAGACAATTCATCTCATTGAGTGATTGAGGTTATGGTCATGATTAAACATGGATTCCTATATGCAGCTAACAAAACCAGCACACATCAATGGAATACTTTTTTAAAATTGAATTTGAAAACAAAAAATGGTGATTGGGTTCTGCAAGAAGGCAAGAAACTGGCTTAGACTGAGGAATGGTATCATCAACAAATACGGTATCACAAATATGTATCAAAACTTGAACATCCAATTAATCGCATAAGAAACAAATACGGTAATTGTGCACTTACGATTATTCAATAACTGAACAACTTCACTATTGGAACACCCATTTAATGATATTACGTTTAAGGTTGATCCACTCGGACGGTGCTTCTCATAAGTGCGGCCATTGCCACCTGTATCCCCATGGTGATCTAGACTTGCCATATTTTTTAGTATGCTATTTTGGTTCTTCTCTCCATCACTACCGTAACTATTTGCTCTTTCAAGACGATCTGCACAATCAAGTCATTGGATCAAGTTATTTACTCCTACGGTCCTATTATGCCATAGATCTTTTGACTCCGGGTTTTGATGTCATAATATGACCCCGGGCCCTATGGTTCTACGTTGGACCCGATACTAGGTCCTACCCCCTACCCCCTCCCTCTACACATTATCATGTAAGTAAAATAATCCACCTTTCCTATAATAAAAAAAATAACCAATAGATAAACTAATTATAAACTCAGACTTGCTGGTTACATGGTTTGAAACTTTTCTAAATGAGTCATGAGTTCAAACTTCAAACTGTGGGAATAATCAAAACCAAACAGCAAATCTGTTTTTTTTGTTTAAATTGGATAATACTCCGTATTCGGTTACAAAGAAGCCTCTGAAACACTGATCACAAGACACATAGAAACGTTTCAACATGATGATAGAAAAAGGCCTGAAATTCATCAAAAAATCTACAATTTACTTCTAGGCTTTGAAATTCTTTGCCAATTTGTCAAAAGTTCAATTTTTTCCGCTTGTTTCGGGTTATTAAATTGGGGTTACCAACCTATACCAGATTTGCGCCTTCCAAGAGAGCGATTCCTGCGTTAAAAGGAGAAAACGGCCACAAGTAGTTTAAATAACAGTTGTGAACTCAGAAATACATATGCAGGGCACAAAATGCAGGAGATTGTTTACCGCTGGTTGGGAGGTGCATATCGCTTAACAGAAGCAATGTTGGCGGAGGCTGATGAATCGGTGGCGGGAATTTCTAGCATCTTTTCTTGTCCTCAGAAAGAATTCCTCCGGCCACCGCCACCTCCGTCGCCGAAGCAGGTGTGATGATAAACAGCCAATAAATTGTTGCTACGATAGACACGTCTATACAAATTGCAGATGAAGACTAGTCGAAAGCACCGAAACTTGTAGATCGGCGGCTTCTGCTTCTTGTGACGAACTCCGGCGTCGGAGAGAGAGAGATATAAGGGTTTCGGTTCTCGGACGCGTCGTTCGTTGGTGATTGATTTTGCTCAGGGAGTGCCTAAGGTCCATGTATTTAGTCTTGTACAATAAAAAATTGAGTTTTTTTTTAAATATCCAATGAAAAAAAATATTCCATAAAAAATGTGAGGATGTCTACGTTTAAAATGTAAATTTTGGGAACATGTAAGCATCACTAAGTATGTATCCCTCCCTGCCTAAAAGAATCGGCTCTTTATTATCACGGTCTCTTGATAATTTTTACTTGTTTGTAGATTTTCATTGATCATTTAATAAAATAAAATATTATTGTAATTTTTTATTTTGTGGAGTTTTTGATTAGTTTTCAAATATAAATTTTTTATCTTTTTATTTCTTTACCAATTTGTAAATATAATCAATTTAAAAATCACGAGGCTTTGTACGTTGATCAAAGAAGGTAGTAATTCTTTTAGGGACAGAAAAAGTATATCTGACGCGTTGTACATGATGACATCACAAGTAATTATACGAATTACAAGTTTTTTGAAGATATAGAAGTTAAATGAGAAATTAAATTCAGACGAAAAGAATACTACATTTAATTAATCGAGTCAGTATTATTATAAAAGTGATACATATATTCACTAGTGAAAAGCCATTTCCAACTGAAATTTTACTAAAATACAATATACTTGAATCAATTTATATATCTAAATCATTTTGTCCTTGAACTATTATTTTTGAATGAAACTGTAATAAAAAATTTGAGAATCGAATTAAAACATGAGCTGAACATAATTAAGCCAAAATGACATGATTTGGGTATAACACAAGCCCAAAATAGACTTGAATTGAATACTCAATAGAATTTATGGATGACAACGGTGAGGTTTTAATCGGGTGGAACTTCATTCTCACTCATTCATTAAGTATTCATTTATTACTCGACCAATTCATCATTTCTTACATACAATATCTATAATACATGATAACAAATTAAAGAAGAGAAAAACTTATTAACTCTGTTTTATTTCAACAAAAAAACTCAACAATGGTTAAGATGAAATCATATGGAGAAACAAATCTTTAAGGTCCAAAGCCCAAGGCAAAATCCATATACATGATTGGGAGTCTTCTGAACATTATAATAATAATGTGTAAAATAGAACATAGAGCTTTCTTGAATTGAACCCGATCCAACTACGATTTCTAATGAAGATGGTATTTGGCGCTGCTATAGATTCCCTGAAAAGCAGAAGTCATAGGGCATGTTTGGGAATAGCGTTAACGATTGACGTTTTGAAAAGGCTATATACGAGCAGCGTTTAGCGTTAGCGATTTCAAAGTGATCTACACCGTTAAAATTTTATCCAAAACGCAAACATTAATCTCTAACGTTATTCCCATAAAGGGTTCATAATACACAAGTCAAAAATATTAATATCAACTTTGTCGAAAAATATTTTTAGAGCCTATTTTGCATTCAAAAGTCATGCAACATAAGTTGAATCAGATTTGTCAAATGCACAAACATGCTTTTATATGAAGTAGAAACTCAAAGTTGTTTTCTAACAGAGGCACACAATGCCTACCACCTTCAAAGCTTCATAGCAAGCTATGGTTTCTAATTTTTAATAGTTTTTAAATTAAATACGAATGAATCAGGTGATGAGTTAAAAAAAGCACCCACATTCGACCCGATCCATCATCAATCCATCTTTAATTCGCCTATCGCTCTTTTCTTTAGAAATTTTATCCATTAAATCAAGTCGAGTGGATCAATTATCAAACGTGTAGAATAAAAATTGACATTCTAATAGATTCGAAAAGAAACTGATCGACCAATTTGCCACCTCTTCATGCAAGAATAGACTAAGGCCTTATTTTTTTAGTTGGAAAATTAACTTCCAACATTTTCAAACTATTTTTAGTTTTTTTCAAGTCCTTCTAGTTCACACTAACTTCTTCTAGTTTCATTCGACAAGGACTTAAAAAAATGTGTTTATATATGACGAATTTACAATAACATTATATATCCTAATTTATTACACACCATTTCAAATAGAGATAAAATGAATTTTTTTTATCTAAAATTAGAATTTTTTACATATTAATTTGGATTATCATTTAATTAAATTACGTTTTTACTCTTCAATTCTTTTAATAATTTCTTTTAATTTTTTCCAACTTATTTTAATTTCTTCCAATCATTTTTATTTTTTTTAATATCTAACTCTGAAATTCGAACCAAAAGAATAAGGTTTAAAAGGTGAAATTTTGGAGAATGAGTTAAGAGTTAAGAATCATGATGTGAAAATGACATTGACCTTCTAAAAATTGAACCGATAAAACAACTGCAGCAAGAACCTAAAGGGAAGCACATTCGCTGGCGCCAGAAGCCGCCGCGTGATCCCTTCACCGCTGGCCGTCGTCGGAGAGACCAACCGAACATCATTATTGCCGTGAAATGGTCGGAGTCGAGAGACAAAATTTCAACGCTCGCGAATCAATCAAAGCTCAAAGCTCGTTCAACAATTATCCCAAGTGGAAACATAAGGTTATCATAAATTTTTATTCCAATGATGTGTTGGATCATACGTTATGTGTTTATGCCTGGAAATGATGGAAATTATGTTAGTTATGTTCGTAGCTCCGCGAAAATTGTTACACGAGGGTTCAGGAGGATCGAACCCGCTTGCTTTGGAAACTGAGATCTACACAGGCCAAAGAACACCAGGTTATACAAGGAATATGTATTTTTTCCTATGTTTTATGTTTATGTTTATTTTTTGTTGTTGAATTGGATTCATATGCTCTGTGTTAGCACTTCAGTTCAATGGCATGATTTTGTTATGATTGGTTTGGTTGCTCTCACAAATTGGCTAGCTTTCAAGTGTTTTAGTTATGTATGGTATTTGTTTCTGCTGGCAGGAATTTGTAAAATCAACCTTCCGGGACATAGTTTCAGATGAGTTGCAGAAAGTTAAGGTTTTGGCTGATGATTTTGATACTTCAAAATCTGTTCCAGTGACGGATGAGATGTTATGGGAATATGATGGCCTTCACTCTGTGTATCAAGGTGATTGCGAGGAAATGTTGTTGGAGATGCAAAGAATATTCTACAAGGATGTTCGTGAGAGAGAAACAAGAACAGGTAATGCGACTGTGTCTCCCCCATAGTAGCCTTGTTGGGTTCTGATGGATTACTATTACACAGACTAAGAAGTTGATCCTATATGTGATGTTGAGTTCCTTGAGATAGTCATGTTGATACTTTTCCTTGAAAATAATAAGAAGCTTTAGCATTCTTCTCCAATTGGATAATTTCAAATGGTTGAGCTTAGATTTACTATAGCTCATTACAGAAGAAGGCTGTAGTGCAAGCTGGGAAGATGAAGAAGATGAGTACCTGGCCCGTGCAGTTTATGACAATATGAAACTAAATGATGAGCAGGTATGCTGCAAAGCGTTTGTGGTTAAATCACTCATTCATTCTCACACTTTATTGTAAATGCACCTTATTTTGTACCAGTCAATTTCAGCCCATCGACAAAAAAAATGAGGATTTAAATCCAGATAGAATAAAAGTTTTGTGAGCAATATTGAACTCTTATAGCCCCCTTTTGAAACCCCCCTTTAGAATAAAAGTTTTGTAAAGACATACCATGTTGGATAACGTTTATGTTATATTGGTCTTCCTACACCTCCACTCACAGTCGGAATTTGCTAGTACAGAAATACATCTAGGGTATGTAGACAGTAAAAAATTCACGCATGGATCTTTTCTTCCATTTCGTTCACTTTGGTTTTTGGATTTTTTTGTTTGATAGTCAGGTTCATTGTATTTAAACAAGTATGACACTTTTAATAGGTGGCGAATGTGGTTTGGTGCCCAATCTGCAAGCAGGGAGAGCTGAAAGAGACCATTCATCTAATTAGTTGCACTCAGTGTGGAATTAGACTCGAAAGATGTGATGAGGTTGTGCTACAATTTCTATATTTATTTTAAGTGCAGTATTTTAAATGCTTCAACTTGCTATAATGACTAAAGTAGACCAGTTTGTGCGGGGTGTAGCTTTTAAAAAATATTTAGCCTATATTTGTCTCCTAAACTGTTTCATATGTCTTTTGGTCAAGTGTCTTAAGTTTCTTGACATTGGGTGGATATGACCCATTGTCTCTAAAGGGGTTTCAAGATTGGGTCTGGTCCATCTGCACCAAAGTTGTCTTGCACATACAGAAATTATAATGTGCACTTCTAACTTTAAATTCATATTGTAGACACTACTCCGTAAGTTATCTACTCGGTATATAGCAATGAAAACAATGACTGTAAAAAATCCATTAAAAAAAATCAATTATCATATATATATATATATATATATATATATATATATATATATATATATATATATATATATATATATATATATATATATATATATATATATATATATATATATATACACACACACACACACACACACACACACACAC